AATAAGATTATTGGTTTCTCTGATATTTATTCTCCGTTATAGTTTATATTAATCGAATTTATCGTCCTTGGTTTTTATATGAAAGAAGAAATAATCGTTAATAATTATTTAAACTGAGAAAAAAGTCGTTTTTAAAGGTAGAGGTCAATTTAAAAAAAATTTTTCATTTATAACTAATAATAAAATAAAATAAAATTGTTGTTCGTGTTCTGCTTAATTAAACATTAAATAATTTAATTATCAATTTAATTTAATTTTAATTATTATTATTATAATTACGTTTATCGTTTTGTACCTAGGTTTCATAAATACATTAGGTAATTTTTTTTTCTTTACACGATCTGTTTGTCACAAGAATACATTGCAATCCTGTTAGGTATTTGATTTCTTAATCGCATATTGTACAGTCACTCATTAATAAAACTTCCTTTTTTTCATAGGTTCATACGGTATTATTATTATTATTATTATTATTATTATTAAGTAAATCCAACTTGTAATTTACCCAAAAAAAAAAAAAAAAAAAAAAAGAGAAAATTATTTCGTAACGTTTGAAAAACAATAATTTTTTTTTACAATTCAGAAGAAGTTCAAGTGTATATAATAAAATTTTTTTTTTTTACTTTCATCGTTATTTCTCGTCTTGGAACAAACCTAATATCCTGTTAAATAAGGTATTTTATGCATGAAAAGTTCATTCACTTCTTTGGCTTTATAAATTTTTCTTAGTAGAAAGGAATGGAAATATAAAAACAATTTGTGTTTGGACCGTTTTAAAAAAAAAGTAAAAATTTTTTTTTTGTACAGGTATTGGTGAAACGCGCGTATTTTTGGCTTTAGGTTCGTGTTCGAACTCATTCATTTACACAAAGTACTACCTACTTATATTATCTATCAATTATTATTATTTTATTATTATTATTATTATTTTATTTAATATGTTTTTATTGTTGTTAAGTTATAAAAATGTGACAAATAACATGTGTGTGTGTGCATAAAAGTTATGAAACGTAGTTAATAAATAAAGTTATGAAATTAATTAATCCAGATTTAAATAAATATTTATAAAAAAAAAAAATTTTTTTTTTTTTTTCACATTTCACAATTTTTGTTTTTATGTTTTCATAACACTGTTTTATGTTTGTGTTCAAATTGTTTGTTTTGTTTTGTTTTTTGTAATTCCTAAAGAAAAACAAAACAAAAAGAGTGCCTGTTTAAATGATGAATTTTTTCTTTTTTTATTCCATCATTGAAAATTTCTTTAGTGAAAATTTTTTTTTTACATTATTATTATTATTATTATTATTATTTACAGATGTTAATTTTTATGTGATTTTCGAGAGGCTCCTAGTAGTAGTACCATGTCTGTAGACTGTGGAGCTTGTTGCGCCAAATACTTATTGTGTTTGTTCAATTTTGTTTTTTTTGTAAGTTTGACCTGGTTTTTTTTTTTTTTTTTTTATAATTAAAATTTATTGTTTTATTTATTTTAATGTATTTTTTATGTTTTTTTTTTTTTTTTTTTTTATATCAATCAGATTGCTGGAAGTGTAGTTTTAAGTATTGGAATATGGATAGCTGCTGATAAATCATCATTTATCGAAGCAACAAAAATAATCGAAAGCACGGATGTAGTTGACGGGGTAAGTTATTGTTAATATACTTAAATTTTTACAACGTTTCATTACAATCTCAATTGTAATAATAATAATAATAATTATTATTATTAATATTCCGTGTATGAAATTTTTAACAAATGCGGCGGGAATGGTTTATTACCGAAATAAAAATCTACCACATTCATATTAATTAATCGTATCCTTTACTCTTGCTTTCCTTTGCCTACAAACAATCGCATTCAACTTTTCTTTTTACACATATATATTTTTGAAAAATAATTAGTATTATTATTATTATTATTATGTTTTTTTTTTCTTTAAATGAATGAAATCGATTTTTTAATTTTTGAAAAAATTTTCCAAATTATTATTTATTATAATATTTTGACGCATGGACGTTAAAACGACGAATAAAATGAATTTTTTTTTTTTTTTTCTCATTGTCATTGATTGAATATTAGGTTACCATCGTATTATATTATTGTCGAATAGTCATTTGTTCATTTATGATACATAATAATAATGATGATGATGATGATGATAATGAACCGTTTTACGTTGTGTGTGTGTGTGGCAAGTTTTTTTTTTCTTCCAATTCTTTCTTTGCTGCTGTCAATCTCTGTTCTACATTTTATTATTATTATTAATTTTAATATAAATATAATTACATACATATCACAATCCAATCGTAATAATAATGATAATAATATTATTAAAACGACATTTACAGTAAAAAATTATTATATTTCAAGTAAGAGTTTATTACAGGTCAAAGATTTTATCCGTCTAATGGTTTTAATAATATATACAATGTGTATAGGGATTGAAAAAAAAAATTATTTAATAATTGTTCGTTCACGTGTGTCAATATATCCACAAAGCGTTTGTTAAATATTCATGTTTTCCTGATAATGTTTTGTTTAAATAAAATGTTGTTTTGCTGCTTGTAACATTCGTTAAAAAGTTTTTAAATTTAAATTTAAACTGTTTGAAAAGTATTTTTTTCAATGATTTTTCATTAAGAGAAAAAAATGTCTTCCATACGATAGATAATGAAACAAGATGATTGACAGCGGAAGTAGTTATTTAGGTGAACGATTTCCGTTAGGAAAACCTAATTATTAAACTCGTGTTTTTCCTATTCAGGTGATTTATATTGGAAAATTTTAAATGAATTCGCATTTGTGACATATATTTAAATTATTATTATTATTATCGCTATTATTTAATTGTTTTGAATGATGATTAAAATTTAAAATTTCAAAAAAAAAAAAAAAAATTTTTTTTTAGTTATCACAATTTACTCAGCCGAATGTAATACATCAAGTGGCGTATATGCTCATTGCATCCGGTGCATTCATATTCATTATAAGTTTTTTGGGATATTGTGGAGCTATTAAAGAATCCAGATGCCTTCTCTCATGCGTGAGTACCATTTATAATATTATTAATTTAAGTTTTATTATATTAAAAAGGAAAGAAAAGTCAAATTGATGATTGCAACGGGGGGAATCCCAATTAAAAGAAATTTTTTTTTTTTTTAAGTCATTGTGTCATAATGAGCGACGCTCGTTCAATTTTAACCGTAAAACGTTTCGTATAAATTTAAATGATAATGTTTTGTTGTTGTTTTTTTGTAAATTTGCGTAATGAATCGAATACCGTAAGGTTGACTCGAAACAAGTTTTTATAAAATTCAATGCTAAAAAAATAATAATAATAATAAAAATAATAAAATATTTAAATGAATAAATAAAACAAGGGCGACAAGCGGTAATTTTTTTTTAAAGATGTTTTTCACGTTGTCCTTTTTTATTTATATTTGACGTAAGAAGAACAAAATTGTGAAAGGAATGGGTGGGGGAAAAAAAAAAAAAAAAAAAAAAACATTGATCGTCTGCTGGGAAAAAAAAAAAAAAAAAACAATAATTTTGTTTTATTCGGGGCGGTTATCTAATTTTTAAAATAATAACAAAAAAAAAAATAATTTTTTAAATTAATAAATTATGACCAAAATAAAAAGCGAGTACATAATATGGACGTTGAAAAATTTAAAAAAAAAAATCGGCCCAACCTCTCAGGAAATATTAAAAACGGTTTCAAAAAGATTAGGTTTAAAAACGGGAATGATAAAACCATTTGTGGAAAGGGCTCTCAACAGGTGTATCGTTTTCGGTGAAATCAGAAAGGAAGGAGGTCGTTTCCGATTGCAACCTCTCGAAGCTTATACCAATTACTTTGAAAATGAAAAGAATAGGAAAATAATGATAAGCGAGAAAAAAATTCGGGTTAAAAAATCGAAAAAACTTAAAATTAATAATAAAAATAATAATAAAAATAATATTAGTAACATTAATAATAATAATAATAAACGTAATCGTCGTGTCAAGAATGTAAAAAAATGTAATAAAAATAATTTTTCAAAAAAAAAAAATACTAATAATAAAAATAATAATAAAAAGAAAAAAAATGGAGCGTCAGTGAAAGCGAAATCGTGACCTTTGTACATAAATATATATAAATAAATAAATAAATAAATGTGTTTAACCAAAATTATATTTAAGTTAATAACAAATGATAATGAATTTTGGCTTGTTAAATTTTTATTATATTATTACTCAAGGTGTGTGTGTGCGTGTGCGTGCACGTGCGAACGATGCGAAATAATGGATTTTTTTAAATATATATATATATATATATATATATATATATATATATATATATATAATAAAAAAATTGATTTTGATTTCAGTACGGCATCGCACTTATTATTATTCTAGTCGTAGAATTGACTGCTGGAGGGTTAGTTCTCGGTTACAGAGATAAAGCAGAGGAAAAAGTAAGGGAGGTTTTCAAATCGACAATAACAAAATATTACACAACAACGGAAAAGGGTGACGGAGTGACGCTCTTTTGGAATCAAATGATGGTTCAGGTACGAACAAAAACAGTCTCTTTATTATTTTTTTTTTTTTCCAACACCTCCTAAATGTTTTAATTCACGTAAGGGGAAAAAAAATTTCAGTTAAAATGTTGTGGAGTTGACAACTTTCACGATTTTGAAAGTTCAAAATTTCGTACGGAAGGAAATAAGACGGTGCCAGAATCTTGTTGCGTACTCGTTGGTGATAAAAACGACGTTAATAAATTAACACCAAAAGACCCCAGGTGTCCTTATAGGCCATCCGAAGCCAATTCTTATTACATGACGGTATTTTGAAATTGATTTTTTATTTCATATCAGAAAATAAATTAATTAATTTCGTATTAATGCTCTTTTTCCTCCCCGCTTATATTTCAGGGTTGCTATAAAACATTTATAAATTTATTATTAGATCACGCCAACATTGCCATCGCTGTCGGTATTGGTCTTGGACTCGTACAACTATTAGGAATTTTCCTTGCGTTTTGCCTTTGTAAATCTATTGACAGATATTTTAAATAAATTATTCTATACAACAAAAAAAACTAAAACTAAAGTGAAGGTTGTGTTAAATAAAAAGGAAAAAAAAAATATAAATACGCCAAGTATTTTTTATATTACTTTAAACACATATTCATGTTGTAAATAATTTAAGTGCGCGTTTAAATAAATGTGTGAATTGTTTAATTAATTCAATTTTTTGTATTCGTTTTAAATATATATACATAAATATATATTTATAATATAAATCTATAATTCGAAAACGATTTTTTTATATATATATATTATTATTATTATTTTTTTTTTGTAAAAAGAATTAAAAGTTTCAATTTATATATGTATGAATGAATTAAATTAAAATCAATAATTTTTATATTAAATTTATTTATTTATAATTGATCAATTTAATTGTTTAATTTTACAAATTTTTTATTTATACGCAAAGGTAACAACTGAGATCGGGGGGGGGGGAGGGGAGGGGAGATATCAATAAAAAAAAAAACTTAATAAATAATATTTAAAATGATATATTATCACTCTTGTGTGCGTGTGTGCGCGTGTTTAATTTAATACTGGAAAAAGAGCGAGGAAAAAAAATTTAAAACTTTTTTTTTTTATTTTTATTTTTGTTTAACGCTTATTTCCTCATCAGTTGTGTCCGTTGTATCATCCGTGTCACTAGAATAAGATGCATCTTTTTCACTGTCTGATTCTTCTGTCGATTTCTAAAAATTAAAATAATTTTTTTTATTAGGAAAATGGGAAATGATATCGAGAAAAAAAAAATTTGTTTTTACTTACCTCGGTCGAAAGTCGTTTAATGTCTTTGCAATTGTTCATGGCTCTTTGTAAAAATTTTATCGTTTCAGAATTTATTTCTTCTTGGATCTAAAAAAAAAAATGTGAAAATTTAAATTTAAAACAAATTTAAATAAGTTTAAAAAATTTTTTTGGGTGTGTAAATACCTGAGATTGCGATGACGTATTTGTTGTTGTGACGTAAGAATTTGTTTTGTCACCGTGACGAAATAATGAAAAACGTTTTTGAATTGTTCCTTCCGGTTTTTTTTTATCTGAAAAAAAAAAAAATTAAATTTAAATTTTTTTTTTTTTTGTTTTTCCAGATGTTAAACGTTATAGTTACAATTAACCTTTTTTTAAATCAGATTCCAGTCGTTTAACGTTTCCTTCTCCAGTTCTACGATCCTGTAATTTTTCACGTTGATTTTCATTTTTATTTTTTTTCCCTTTACCTTCTTTATTCGATGGTTTCATCCAAAGAGTTTTCAATTCATTTTTCCCTTCTTTACTACTCGATAATCCGAAAAAAAATTTTGATTTTTTCGAATCTATTTTTTCCGGGGTCTGTTTAGTATTAGTAGTAGTGATTTTTTTAGTTTTGTTAAATGAATTATTATGTAATTTCCATACGGGTTCTAAAACTGAACTCGTTTTTGTTTTTGGTAGAGGATTAACGTTGAAACTAATAACTGAAGGATAATCTCCCTGTCCGCCACCTTTTATCAATTTCTTTTTATCACCGCTAAAACATATTATTATTATTATTATGAGGAGTGTGTGTTGTGTGCGTGCGGGGGGGAAGGAATTGTTAATAATTACCTGAATAATGATAATTCTTTATCTTTTTTAAATAAATTTTTATTTTTAGTATTTTTATATGTAGTAGCAAAAAAATTTTTCACTGAAGTCAAACTATTACTTCCAAAATCGAAAAAACCTTTATCGCTTAATATTGATAATTCATCGACTGAATTGAATTTTATATCATCTTTTTCAGGTACTGGTTCAGGATTTTTAAAAAATCTAAAAAATTCAAATTTATCAAATATGTTTTAGGCAGAAAAATTTGTTCGATGGTTTTTTTTTAAAACAATACTCACTTAATTAAAAATTCAAAATTTAAATTATCAGGTTTTTTTTTTTCAACTTTTTTAGGTACGCAAACGGGTTTTTTCTTTTTGTTGACAATACAATAATAAATTAATAAAAAAAATACGCAAGACCAAATGGCTATTAATATAAAAACTCCTGCGAAAAAATAATTTGGTTTATTATCATAAAATTCTTCTTCATTTTCTCCAACGTCACGAATTTTATCTTTTCCTGTAGGAAGGGAAAATTGTCAACAAAAAATTATTTAAACGGAATAGAATTATTTGAATAGATATTTTTAAAAAATTTCAGGGGAATGTGTATACCTGAGGATTTACTTTTCTTGTCATCATTTTCAAATTCTAGTCCTTTCCAAAAAATATATCTTATATCGTGAGAAGCAACTTCTTTTATCGGAGGTTCACTTCCTAATTTTTTTATCGTGGCAAGGATTCGGTAAATCCCACCGAAAGCAGGATACCATTGCTCATCATACAAATGAGAAAAAACCTGTTTAACAAAAAATTAATAATAAAATTTTGCACGTTTCCCCCCTCCCCCCGTCCCGTTGAATTTTTCACTTACGTGATCGTTCATCCAAGAATAAAAAGCCGAATTAAAACTTTTTATATCTTTCGAAGCAGATTCTTTACTCATTAGACATTTTATTACTGCAATATAATAACGTTCTAAAATAAATGCAGATTCTCGATCTTGAATATTTCTTAGGGGTCTAGTTTTAAATGGTATTGCGATGGTATGAAGAGTTCTGCAATTTTCCAAAACAGGAAGTGGAATAACCATCTTATTGCTCACCTCTTTTGGTACTTCTAACATGTGTACATAAATATATAATAATTTTATTTAACAAAAACACAAAATAATAATAACAATCAAGGGAAATTTTTCTATACCTGAGTTTATTTTTAATTGTTTACAATCCACATCTTTTTTACATCTCATAGTTATATTATTATTATTATTATCATTATTTAAACTTTTGACTTTTCTTTTTTTCGTCTTGTAAATTTTTTTTTTTTCTCTTTTAAAATTTTGTTTTAGAAAAAAATCATCGTTTATCCTTTGAACTTCATCATTAAAATGATTTGAATGTAAATTTACACTATCTTTTTTTTTATATAAATTTTTCAAACGAAATAATTTAAGTTTTTTTTTTTTAACATCTTCTTCATGACTACCATTTGTTACATTGACGACGTGAAAATTAGTCGTTTCGCTTTTTTTTACTTTAAAATAAAAATAAATAAATTTTTACGTTAAAAAGAAAGGAAGGAATGGGGTGGGGGGAAGGGGGGAAGAGGGAGGAGGTGAGGAATAATAAATGGTTTCAAGTTTACCAATGGTATATAACTGATCACAAGATGATGATTCGTCTTCTGTATCTCCAAAAACTAACGGTTTCGCATTAAATTTATTTTTAATAAATTTTTGAGGTTTTGCCCAACCGAACCCATTAGTTTTTAAAAAATATCTTATGTCGTCATAAAGTCGAAATAATTTTTTTGCGTCTGAATACTTGACTTGCCCTGAAAAAAAAAAAATTTTTTTTGGTTATAACTGAGATATAAGGAAAATATTCAAGTAGGAAAAATCTATATCACCTGTGTAATAGGCTTTTTTTGTTAGAGGCAATGCGTAGCTTCTTAAATATCCTCCGAGAGCATCTGACAAAGCTAAAAGCATCAAATTTTGTATTTTTCCATAAGTAGAAACACTGATGACTTCATAACAAGATTTAAAATAATCTAAGAGAGTGACAACAGCATCTGGTTTACTGAAATCAATGCAATCCGGATCGGGAAGTACATCTGGAAATTCAATAACGGTGAGTAAAAAAAATTTTTTATTAAAAATATATTCTTTTTAAAACTTTTACAAAGTAATTAATGTAATGTACGTTATTAATAAAATGTCTACTTATTCAAATATTCTGTATGACACCATGATCAGAAAAAAAAAAAGAGTACATTGAATGTCTAACACATGCTAAAAAGAATGTTTTTGGAATAAATGAATTAAATCTGTAGGAACTTTATTGAAATCAAAACTTGACTGTAAACTGAAATATTATACATGCTGAAAATAGCCATGCTCACAAGAAATAATTTAGGCTCTGTTTAAAAAAAAAAATTAGATAACTGGATGCAGTTAATGCATTAAATTAATTTAAATTGTATTATGTTTACATACTCAAGTTTTAAATTAGTTTTTGAAATATGGAAAATAAATATTGTTTATTGAGTCAAATATGTTTAATAATTGTAATAATAGTAATTGATAATTTAAAGAATAATAATAATAATAATAATAATAATAATAAAAGTAAACAACAACCCACCTTGCATTATGTATCTGGCTCTAAGTAAAGCTTTGTCACTTTCACTCCAACACTTTTTAACGATATCCGTCGTTGTAAAAAGAACAGTACCCACTTGTATACAATTCAATGATACAATATTAACTACATAGTAAAATACGATGGTAGAAATCCAAAAACTTATTCGCATATTTGGCTCTCATTTTGCTATGTATATATCATTGTTTACCAAATGCGCGCCCTCAGCCAAGATCGTTCGACGTCATAAAACAATGCAAGAAAGCGGTGGAGTGAGTTGAAACATTTTCTTATCTGGATTACTGAAAATGTAAGTTTTTAATTAATTTTAATTATTTTAACGATTATTTTGTGAATATATTAATTCAAAAATGTTATATCGTATTAAAAAAGAAAGATGTAATTGTAATTAGCGATTTAAATTGATGATAAACGTTAAATTTTTAAATAATTATATTTTGACTACGGTGTTCTATGGCGGTTTTAAGAATTTTTACTGTCAAATATGAAATTTTTTATTAAAATTACAATTAAATAAATTATATGAGATTATGTAAAATTGAAAATGAACGATTCGCGATGTATCATTAAAAACATTATTGTTATATTTAAAAAAAAAAGGTTTTTTGTGAAAATTAATAAGTAAAATTTAGATTTTATTATATTTTTTGGGTAAATTTTTTTTTTTTTTGTTAAAACGACAAAAGGTTTTAATTTCATCCCTTTAGGGAATATATATATTTTCTGGCAATATTGAAATCTAATCTGCTATTAGTCAATTCATGAATAGGTATATTTATACTCATTCCTGCAAGCCTCTTGCGTGCCAGTTAATTGTATTACAAATTTTTTTTTTTTTTTAAACAAAAAAATAACAAATATTACTACATTTGATTTTTTTTTTCTTCCGCCACGACGCTTCTATTGTCCTTTGCAGACACAGGTAATTACCGTTCTCAGACTCTTTCATTTTATTTATGTTCTTTGAGATTGATTCTAAAGGAAAGCCATCATTTTACTCTCTTTTGTTTAATTATTCTTTTTGTTGCACTCTTATTGACTCCATCTTTTTCAAACAGGTATATCTAATAATAATAATAATAATAATTTTTTATTAAAATTTAAAATGACATTTCCGTTTTATAATTTTATTGTTTAGTGTGTGTGTGTGTGTCTCTCTCTCTTTTTTTACTTTTATTATACTTTTCTATCTTATTAATTTCATTAATTTTTCTTTTTCTTTTATTGATTCATTTTTAGTTTTACATTGGTTTTGCCTTATTTATTTATAAAAAATCTAATCAGTTATAATTAACATAATCATTAAAATTATTTTGAGAATAGTGTTTTTTTTTAGATTAACAAACAAAACAAAAACCTTTTAATTATAGTATTAGGGTGAACAAAAAAATGTTAGAAAAAATATATAAAAAGTAATTTTAATTCTTACAATGGTGCATAAAAAAAAAAAGGTAATTTACTAGTTAAGATGCTGTTGAAAGATTCACCTGACAAATGTCACATTTTCAAATGATTTTTTTTTTTATTTTACCCCCTGGTGTAAAAACAAACCGTTGAATTCTTTTTTTTGTGGACTACAAAACGTTTTTTTAACATTTATTGGCTACCAAAAAAAAAAAAATATTTGCGATCCAGACTACAATCGATGACAGTTAAGGGTAACAAAAACAAATAAAAAGGTTTCACGTGCGACTTACAACACTTTTTTCAATTCTTTGTGATGTTATCAACAAATAGAAAATTTTTTTTTAAATAAAATTTTACTGGTCCATAACTTAACAAAAACAAAAGGCTTCACTTGTCAATTATTTAAACTTAACGATAAAAATCATTTTTTATTTTATTTTATTTTAAACAATTATTTGTCGAAATAAAAATTACAACCTATGTAAATTTTTAGTTTTGTGCAAATAATTTGTCGTCAGGTTTATGAAAACTAATTGGGAAAAACTTTTCTTTTTTTATTTTATTGCATACCTTATTTATTTATTTATTTAAATGTATAAAATGTCACATTAAAATTTATATTGTTTTTTTTTTCTAAATCGGTATAAAGTTTTTAAAAAAAATTATTATTATTTTTCTCGTAAATATTTTTTAAACAAAAGTAATTAATAATAATAATAATAATAATAATAATAATAATAATAATAATAATAATAATAATAAGAAGAAGAAGAAGAAGAAGAAGAAGAAGAATTCATTCAAAAAAAAGAAAAAATTATATATATTTTTTTTTTTTGCTTAATTTAAAAAAAAACCGAAATTTCTCCCCCCACTAAAAAAATCATCCCCATTAAAAAAAAAAAAAAAATGATAGCTCGAACTCGCATAAAAGAACCAAAGGTTTTTCAGGTAGTCAAACGTATTCCTGATTCGGGAGCTCATTGGCGTGAGTGTTGGCTGGTATTGTTGAGTTTGGGTTTTTGTTTCGTAAAATTTTATCGATACCGGGTACTTTTTTTTTGTTACGTAACCGTTAATGTTCGACAAAGTTTTTTTTTTTTTTTTTTTTTTGTGATAACTAATGGCGGTTGCAACTGAAATTTTTCACGGATTAAGAACTGTTATGAATTTGAGCAGTGAATGTTTAGAACCATCTTCTCCAAGAAGTCCGTTATATAGTTTTTATCAAACACATTCTCCGCAAAATGCATCGCAAACGATAAAAAATTTCGATCAACAAATGAATTATAAATATTTGGAAAGTTCTCCGGATCAATGTCATTTATCATCATCATCATCGGAAAGTTTTCGTTCGATAAGTCCAAATTCTGATTTTAGCACCGAACAAGAATTTACACGTAAAAATTTGAGCAACAGCGGGAACGACAGCAGACATTATGGAGTTTTACGTTCGTCCGAATCTTTAATTTTCGATGATGTTTTTCAATACGCAAAACATAATCAAAGAAAATTTGAAAATTATTCGACAGCCGTAACGAAAAATACAATTTTTAACGAAACGGAGGCTAAGGATAAATTAATAGTTGATAATTACGTGAGAACAAGACAGCGTAAAATAAAAAAAAATAAAGGTAGAGAAAAAAAAAATGAAGGGAAGTTTTATGAATTCGATGATGAAAATACAAACAGCAGCACGAATAGTTACGGCGAAGAAGAAAGGGAATTTGCCGATGAATACGACGAAGAATTTTTTAAAAAATCAGGAAGAAAAAAAAATTCGCAAAAACTCATAAGTCCATCGATATTAAAGAAAAGAAGATTGGCTGCCAATGCTAGAGAAAGAAGAAGAATGGAAAATTTAAATAAAGCTTTTGATAGATTGAGAACTCATCTTCCATCTTTAGGTAGCGACAGACAATTGTCAAAATATGAAACATTACAAATGGCGCAAACTTATATAAGTGCATTATGTGATTTGTTACAATAAAAAAAAAAAAAAAAATTTCTTTTCTTTTCTTTTTTTTTGTATCTGTATTTCTTAAACCTTTCATTTTTTTTTTTTTTTTGTATTATAATTATTTGTTACATTTTTTTTTAATTTTTTAAATATATGTAAATATTAATAAATTTTTTTTGTTCGTTTTAATTTACAGGAAAAAATAAGAAAATTAATTATTTAACCTTTTTATTTTATTTTACCTATAATAATTTTCTCATTGATTCCTCGCATTGTGTGTTGTAAAAAAAAAAATTATTATTATTATTATTATTATTATTAAATTAGTGTAATGTCAGAATGTAATATAAATTTTCTTCACGTGGGAAAACTATTAAAAAAAAAATAAACAACAAGATGGCATTTAATTCGGACATTAGCCTTTTCCTTTTTTAAAGATGAGATTTTATTATTATATTGGGTCTCACACTATGTGGAAAAATCAAAGGAAAATTTCAGGTATACATATATATCCAAATAAATTCGAGCTTAATTGAGCTTCGTGGGAATAAAATATATATGAATGAAAGAGTTGACTCACATTTTCTTGACCTTGATAATAATAATAATAATAATAATAATAACGTGTGAACCTTCATCATGTTCTAATTAGAAACATGATTTCTTGACTTGCGTCAGGTCAAACGAAAAAAAAAAAAAAAAAAAATAGCCCGAGGCACCGGGGGAGAGGGTGTGACAGAACAAAATCTGGGAGCGGAAGTTGTTGTACAAACGATCTCATTCAGTCCTCCTTCTTCCTTTTTTTTAAAAAAAAAAAAAAATTTTCTCAATTACTTTTTGTAAATTTTATACGTTAATTATGATACGATCGATATTTTAAAATTATTATTATTATTATTATTTTTTTAACGGTTGAATTTTTGTTTTAGAAAAAAAAATTATATAAAATTTATTTTTTTTAAACGATTTCATCCTTAATTTTATATTGAATTTATGTGTGAAATTTTTTTTTTTTTTTTTGTAAAAAAAGACAATAAATAAACTCATGGGAATTTATAAAATGTCTTTAAATAAATATAAACATAAAATAAAAGAAACAACCCCCCACCCCGCTTTAGGGTTTTATAAATTATAAAATAACATTTTTTTTTTCTTTTTTTTTTTTTCAGGTTTAATAAGGCTTCTTCCTCAAACTAGCGGAAATTAAAATCAAATTTTTTTGGCAAAAAAATGATTTATTTAGCACGGTGTAATTAATAGAAAATCAGAAAAGTACATTCATCAATTTCAAAAGGTATATGATACCAACAGGGTATTGAAAAACTAAGAGGAAAAATGATTCCTTTGCGGTAGATTTCTCTCTCTCAAAAAAAAAAAAAGGTCAGAGGACAGGTTCGCACCGCTGGATACTACACCTGAATTCATTCAACCTCCCACCCACCCGTTTTAAAGGACCGTCTCCATAATAAGTAAGTAAAAAAAAAAAAAAAATCAATCAAAAATTATTATTTTATTTTTTCGGAAACTTTTTTGCACGAATTTTTTTTTTTTTGTGATGATGATGATGATGATGATGATGATCGGTATTTTTTTTTTTTTATCTTGGGTCACGCTTTTCTAATTCACAATTATAAATTACAATCATTAGGATAAGTGTAAATGAGAGATTTTTTTTTTTTTTAAAGAAATGGTGACGGGATAAGGTTGCTATCTAATAATAATAATAATAATAACAAAAATACGTACACGCGATTCGGTTATTTGACATAAATCACAAAAGATGAGTCCAAACAAGGGTTGCCGCCAATGGGGGTTGATCCGCACGTTCTTTTTTTGTCATGCAATCATTAAATTCCCTAAAGAAAATCATTTTTTTTTTTTTTTTTTTTTTTGTAAGGAATCAAAATAATATTTTCGGGGCAAATATTTAAAAAAAAAAACTAATTGAATTTTATGGAGTAAAAAATGTGTCAAAGGTTAAATGATATTAAAAAAGAAAATCCCTCGAGTTATGTTTTTAATTTTTCTTCTGCAGTTTTACTAAAGTAACTAAAAATTTTCTTCCATGTTGTATTCTTATGCCGAACGATTTTAATAATTTAAAATTTCAAATTTATATATATATAAATAAGAGAGAGAGAGAGAGAGAGAGAGAGAAAAAAAAAACAAGATGGTAACAGATGGTTTAAAATGCGTTTTCCATTCGTACTACCTGATTTACTGTTTATAAGTACAATTAAATATTATCTAAATGGCCGATATATTAGTTAAATTACCTAATTTTTTTTTTTTTTTTTAAGGTTCACTTCTGTTTATTATTATTATTTCGATATTTATATATAAACCTACCTGAAAAAAAAAACAAAGATTCATTTCATTTTAAATTTAAAAAAAATTAAAATTGACAATAAATTCGAGATGGCAACCAATTCAAATAGTCGGCTCATTTTTTTTTTTTTTTGAATGAAAATGCTGCCATCAAATTTTTGACAATTTTACCCTCGAGGTAATAATAATAATAATAATAACGTCTCCGTGTATCGTTTTCAAAAGAGGGATGGATTGATCTTTAGTGAGTTTTTAGTGTAATTCAATCTCAAATAAAAAAAAAATAAATATCTTGTTAAAGGGAAAAACAAAACAAAAAAAATATTATTTATTGATTAATCACACTAAATCTCGTCAATCCTTATTAATGGCACGAGCACAATTTATTTAAAAAAAAAAAGAAAAACGTCAATAGAAATTTTCTTTTGTTCTCGGGTTAAACATGTTAAGAAGGTCAATTATGTAAATTTAACGAATATAATAATAATAATAATAATAATAATTTTGAAATCAAATTAAGATTTAAAAATGAATATTTATTGATTGATTGATTGATTGATTGATCGATCGATCTATTGATCACCCATCGGTTGAAAAATACAATACGTTTTTTTTTTTTTATATCGCGTAATTTAAGGGCTTTTTTTTTTTTTTACCGAAAACAATTATTTCCTTTTATTTAGAAAAATATAATAAAAGAAAGAGAGAGAGAGAGAGAGACTTAACGGGTTTAACAATGAATTTTATTTTTTTTTAAAATATAAGAAAGCACGCGATAAAAGTCCCTCAAGGGGCCCCATTCGTGTATTTTTTAAATATACTCGGCAGAAGCTTGCACGACTGCCCCGATTATAAATCAATCTTTATAAAAAAAACCCTTTTTAGGGCCCCAAAGGTGAACTTTTTTTTTTGTTTTTTAGTTCCTTTTTTGTGGTCCATCATCATTTATTACGTGGCGGAAATCGATCTAGAACGTACGTCACTCGAGCCAAAAGAACTAAATTTCTTTTTTTTTTTTTTTCGTTTTTGACAGAAAGGTTTTTTTTTTTGTTTTACATGCCATACTACGAGTATTTATTACTTTACCAATTTCCTGAAGTCTTTATTTTGTAGTGTGGTCGATTATATAGCCTTCCAGCAACGGTTTTTTTTTTTTGTATTTATGACGACCCTTTGGGTTGTTGTGGGCCACGTTCGTATTATCGTAAAAATTTACAAAGTAGACAATTATTATTATTATTTTCGTACATTGTATTTTTTTCTTTTTTTTTGAAAATTAACTTTGATAAACAATTAGTGTGTGTAATAATTACAGTGTAAATTTTTAAGAATTCGTTACAACTTTTATAATTTCAAAGAAACGGGTTATGTTATGAAATTTCTTATGAAAAATCTTCTTTCTTTAATTAGTTCGGCTTTACAAAACTTTTCCTCATAATTTTTTTTAATTGTTAGTTAAATTTTTCCCCCTCCCCCCCCTAATTACACCTGCACACGTGGCAAATATTACGTAAAACATATTTAAATAATAATAATAATAATAAGAAAACAATTATTATAGAGTAAAAATTTTTTAAATTTCCCATTTCCCCTCTCCTCCCTCTCGACACCAATAAAACCGTTAAAAATTTTTTTTTTTTCTCTCTCTCTTATTTAATCCAATTATATTTAATTCTAATAAAAGGTTTATGAAATTTGTTTCGAAAAAAAAAAAGGAATTTAGCACCAAAAAGAAAAACAAATAAAAAATTAAAGGTAGACATAAAATGGCGGCATAAATTTTGTAATGGTAGCAATAAATCATGAGCATTAAACATTGTTTTTAAACTTTTAAAAAGAAAGAACGATATGGAGGAATAAATATACGATTTAGGGTTTTTTTATATTTATTCGAATGTAACATTGAGAAAATATTAAATGCTTAGGTTTTCCATTATAATTAACATTGTGTAAAAAATTCTTTTTATATTTATTTTAACCTTAAAGGTGTTTATTGGCATTTAAAGCCGGTACCATTCGGAAAAGAGAGAGAAAGATATAGTTTTCACTCGAAAGGCGCCTGATAAACTACTACCTTATCGATAATAATAAC